CCAAGGACAGGAGATCAGGCAATTAGGTGAACTGGAGATGGTCACTCACTGGAACAGGTGGTCCAGGCCCCTCAGCATCACCGCCATTGCTATCACTGGAAGAGCCAGGGCTGTGGAGAGGGCCTGGGGACATCAAGGGGCCAACTCCACAGAGTCCTGTGGGGCTGGAGCTGTGCACAGGCTATGGCAGAGAGAAGGACAGGTTAGATATCTATGGTCTGCTTCCCACCCTCTTCATGCCTCTCAAGCCCCTCTCTTCAGCTCTTACCTGCAACAGTAGCCGATGGATCTGCTCTGAGAGCTCCTGGATATCAGAGTCCAGGGACAGAGTTGGACTGGGAGCCGGAGGAGTGAACACATCCTCATTCAGGGGTCCCCTGAGGAATTCAGAAAGTTGAGTCCAGACGTGTGTCCCCAGTCCAGTCTTCAGCCCTGCCTCCTCCCACACTTCCCCACCGCCAAAGTTATCTCAATGACCCACTCACGTGCGTACTTTGTGGCGGCCCAACACAAAGGCCACCTTACGGCTCCAGGGGTGCACGAAGCCAGCCCAGCTGGTGTCCATGGTGACGTACTCCCCATTACGGGCACAGAAGCGAATAGGGGAGTGGTCAAAGGGTTGGCCTGCCAGCTGTAGGACTAATGGGAGTGACAAATGAGGTGGGGTGGTTAGTGGGAGGGAGAGATGAGCAAGGTAATGGGCCACCCCACTGGAGATCCAAGAGACCAAGGCATCCATGAGATACCACCATGAGAGCAGTGAAAAAGCCCAAGAGATAGCCAGGAGAGGAGAACACGCTGAGAAAAACTTACTCTTCTTATGGATGGCCAGCATGAGTGGTCTGTCCTCGGGATGCAGGAACAAAAGCACTGGGGCCCCCAGGAGGTCCTGGGGTAGGTAGCCCAGCAGCGGAGCAGCCCTGCAATGGGAAGAGGTGTCAGAATAGCTATGACCTCAGACCTAGCCACACCCTTCCATCTAGGTGCTGACCCTACCTTTCATCCACGTCCTGGAAGAGGCAGCTTGGTGTGTGACGTGTGGTGAAAATCCTCTTGTCAGGGGGGATACGGGGAGCTGTGGCACAGAATGTGTTGCAGTTGGGCTTCATCCAGAATGGTCCAGCTCCTCAGCCCTCCTCTCTACCTGGGGCCAGGATGGCCTCCTGGCAGTTAGCTCCAGGGGCTATGGCCCATTAAAAGGCTCTGGGCCATTCTTGTGCCTTGTACTAGTAATAACACTGAAAACCACCAAAGCTTCTTCACTCTGCCCCAGCTCAAAGCCCTTATCCAACCCAACACCCAAAAAAGAGTCAACCCCTCTCCTAATAACACCACCTTCTGTTCCAAATTTCTAAAGACCTGGCTGGTGCCCTCCCAGTCCTACATCCTGTATCCTACCCACAGCCTAGAGAAAAACCCTTCCTCCTACTCCCCACCAGGCTAGGGACCTGGCCCACCTACCTTCATAACCCGAGTGGATGCGTTCTGCAATGAGCAAGCAGCACGGCTGCGCAGGGGCCCCATCTGAGACCCGGATCTTGGTCACATATGGAGTTAGGCGGAATGGTTGATACCGAGGCCCTGGATCTCTGTCAGGACCTCCTCTAGCAAAGTAGAGAAAAGTGTTAGGGACTTGCAATGGAAAGTCACTGGCCCCTCAAAGTCATGGCCCACACAGCAAAGATATGGGGAGGATTAGGAAAGAGAAGCCTACTACTACTTGCCACACCTACCTGATACGGCAGAAAACAGACTTCTCCTGGGTAAAATCCTTGACGCCTGAACCTGGGACAGATGAGAAAAGCACTGAGCACATTTCCTATCTCTTACCTGGGCTAAGAAGAACCCATCATGGGAAAGCTTGGGTCCCCTGACCCTCCCAGCAAAAGCATCCTGGGGCTGCTCATCCCTCCCCACAAGCACATGGGCACCTCACCTGCAGAGGCCCCAGTGCCCCAAGTGGGTAGACGAGATGGGGCCGTGGAGCCATAGAAGACACCCACATCCTGGGGAGCCAGGAGCTCTGAGAAGCGGGCACCCCGAAATACATCCCGCTTGCAACGCAGCAGAACTCCTGCCTGCTCCGAAATGTATACAATTCGGCCTGTCAGGAAGGAGACAGCCACCGAGAAGGTATCCTAGCAGGAGGGTGAGAATAAGAACGGATTAGGAGCTGTGGGAGTGGGATGGGAGTGTATTGGATAGAGGAGTTAGGCTACTACAGACCTGGTTGCGAAGTGTATACTCAGATGTGATGTGCTCCAGCTCCTCCAGGGTGTAAGTGGATATGTCCATGGCACATGGCTCACCCTCCTCCAGACTCCACTGCTGGTAGTATTCCTGGTTGGCTGCAAGGTGAAAGCACATGTGTGGTTCAGTAAGAAGACTGATCCTCCACAATGACCTAAGCCCTGGCATTTCCTCCTAAGAAACATCACTCACCCTGCACCTGCTTGACACAAGCCAGTGCATACTGTAGTGTGGCCAGGGTCCCAGAACGGCCTTTGCCCCGACGCTCTGGTGGTAGTCGAAGCTTGAGCTCCCGAAGTGCAGTCATGAGTTCCTTCTGAGTCCTTGCCCGAGCTGACTGTTCACTGCTGCAGGGCCCATGGGAAAGGAGTGGGAAAGAAATTAGTCCAAGAGTGTGGCCCAGGCCTCCAGATCTCTCCCCCAGCCTTCACCCTCACAAACCTGCAGCCACTGGTAGATGGGTTGTCCTGCTCTGAGCTGGCACTCAGGAGGCTGTAGGCAATGGAACTGCTGGGTGGGGATGGGCTCTGAGAGTTTGTGCTGGAGGAGAAGCAACAGCCCCAAATGAGGGGCAGGTGACTAGTAGCAGCATGAAGCCTTTATTACCTACCTCAGTTCATTCACAAAATACTCCCAGATTTTGCAGCACACAAAAATACATACATACCTCTTGCTGCTCTCAGTGGTCTCCAGAAGGGCCGAGTCCTTGCCATTGCCAGAGGAGGAGCTATGTGAACTCCGTTGAGATGCACCCCTGGATTCATGCCCATTGGACTCATTGCCACTTGAGCCATTGCTATTGGCATCAGTGTCATCAGCCAGATTGGGGCCTGGGCAAGGCCGGTGCTGTGGGGGTCCAGGGGATGGGACTCCCCCAGGACGAAAGGATTCGCCGGGCCTGGGGTCCCTTCCCCCATCAGCCTCTTCTAGGGGATCACTCATGTCTGGGCCATGGGAAGGACAGGAGAACAGGGAAGGTGCAGAGGCCACAACGGTTGAACAAGGTGGCCTTGAGGCCTGGCTTGTGAGTGAGGTGGAAGAAGTGTTTCTGAAGTTTGAGAAGTTCGTTCACAGCCAGTACCTGAAGGGGAAGAACCGGAAGAAAGGTTTGGAGAAAGCTGGACTATTAACATCATAGAATTCTGACATTATGCGACCCTCCCCTGCCTGGGGCTCCCAATGGGGGCGGGCAAGATATTTCTGTTTCCTATCCCCATACGGGTGCTACAGGTGGAAAGAGTCAAGACTACGCTCCACTTCCCTAGCCATTATGGCGTGGGTAAACAGAGCCTGAGCAGTCGACTAGACAGACCTATGGCTATGGACCAATACCTGGACCTTTCCCATTCCCAAGTTCCCATCAAGTTCCAAGTCGGTCTGGGACTCCAAGACCGCAGAGCTAGAAAACGAGCCGAACGCCTCCTAAATTTAGGCTTCCGGGCTAATTTTATCCGGGGGCGGCACTACTCCCGCTGCACATGCGCACCGAAGTGCACGGCCCCACCACGCGCTTCCGCCGCCTCGGTCGCCAGGGAAACCGACGTCAGCCGCTGAGCTCAGCGGTTGCTGGAGGGACCAAGGGAGCGAGGGAGGGGCGACCCTCCCCCATATCCCCCCGCAGAAGTGAGGGAACGACCCACTCCCCCACTGGTGGTCACAGCCGGGGGTCGCCCACCCTAAAATAACCCAAGTCCCCGGATAGCCCGATGAACAGGAATGGCCTAGAGAGATTCCAGGGGCTGGTCCAGGCCTCCCTAGAATCGAACACAACCGCCTCCGCCCCTTTGCGAAAAAGCCCACCAACCTGGCTAGCGCCTGAATCCCAGTCACTATGGTCACTACGGTACATCCTTTCTTTCTCTGGCTCCTGACCCCCCTCCGGACCGCCGGACTGAAGCCGGCACCTGCCATTATCAAGGACCCAGGAATCCTCTCCCCTCAGTTCCCTACTTTTCCAACCGCCCCTCCCCCTCCCTGCATTCCAAGCCTGGAGCAGGGGACGCTAAACAGCCAACAGATAGTTCTTCCAAGGCTCCCCGTCCAACCACACCCCCATCCCGAGCATTTTCTGAGCGCCAGAAGAAAAGGGAAGGCTTTGGCTAACAGCAGGAACTAGCACCGGGAACGGGATGTTCCAGCCTGAAGCGGGCTGACATCACGGCCGGCTCGAGGCCAGGGATTGGAAGGGGGAGGGCAAAGAGCTCCAAAAGCCTGAAGAGGTCCTGGGGCCAAGGCAAACCTGGGGAGCCCTGTATGATAAGAAAGGAGACATGGGACATGCCCACTGAGGTTCTGTTGTGGGGTTGGGGTGGCTGGGACCGGGGAGCAAAGGTGGAGATAATATGAAAGGGTCAGGAGTGTGGACACCCGGTGTAGGGTTGAGAGGAGCACCTAGGTCCCAGCGAACAGCCACAAGGAGAGTGGACTGCTGTTGTGCTGAGTGCCCGGGTTGAGTGTCCTATCAGATTGGAAGTGGCGGCGGCCTGACTCGAGAACAGAGACTAGCCAGAGAACAGAGACTAGCCAGGGTGGCGACGACGGAGATTCCTACCTGGCGGTGCGAGCGCCTTCCAGCTGCCTGCCCGCTGCTGTTTCAGCCCTCTGCGGAGTAGAACCTCCGCTAGGCTAGGAGGCGGGTTGCATAATGCCAGGCACTGCCCCTCATTGGCCCCCTGCCCGCAGAGCTGTCGGCCCCACCCCCGATTGGCTGGGTATCTCTTCCCGGCCCCTGATTGGCTACTGGCCCCCACTGAGGTCAGGGCTGTGTCACACACACCGGCGCACGTGGACCTGGGTGCTGGAGCTGGGCTGAAGGGCCCCAGACACGGCCCAGCCAATGGATGCAGAACGCTTTGCACAGTGAATAAAGGAAGGAAATAAGAGGAAGTAAGCTGTCTCTCTTCAGGGAAAATGCCTCCAAGCCACAGTAGGTAGGTACTCAAGAGATGTCTACTTTTGCTGGATTAACCAGCAAAATATCTTGGCCTGCCCCGAGATGAGAATGTAGACCCTGGGACCTGAATGAAGCTAGATGAGCTGGCTGGACCCTGAGAGGAAGGGGAGAGAGAAACCCCGCTTGGCCTTTCCTGGGTTCTCCTCCTCAATCTTGTCATCATACATAATGAACCAACCCCTTCCTCTGACAATCCAAATCCTGGGAGGAGGTCAATTGAGGGTCCACGTGTGACTGGGGGATGAGTGGGTGGAGGGAGGATGCCAACAACGCTAGGGGCAGCCAGAGCCAATAGGAATTGTGAATGGAAACAATGGCAGGTGTTTTCATAACCAATCAGAGAAAAGGTCTCCAGGCAGCCTACATGGTGACTAGTGCTTCTTCAGAGGATACAGCCACCCACATTTAGGGCTGCCCCCAAAGTGGGGGGCCAGGAAGCCAGGGCAACAGAGAGATGAAGGGGGAGTAGAGGTTAAAAGAGAATAGCTAGAGCCCTCGACAGAGAAAGGTGGGGTGGCAATCAATTCATATCCCCACTACTTGAAAAAGAGAAAGCCAAGATACAGGAGCCTAACAGGGATCTCATCCATCTCAATTGCTGTATCCTCCATCACCCAGGAAAGGATTTGACACATGGTAGGTGATCAATAAATATAATTTTTGTTTCTAAGGATATAAATGTGGGAGGTGGTGAAGGAACCTGAGAAGTGGAGCTACTTTTTTTTTTTTTTTTTTTTTTTAAAGAAGGAAAGAGCAGAGTACTGAGTGCTAAAAAAGAGAACAGGGACTTGATTGGGGAAATAAAGTGCCAGTCTGGGTCCAGGAAAGCTGTTCTTACACAGCCCCTCCATCCAGCACTGTGATGAGTAGTCCCTCTTAGGACTCCCTGGAAACGTGGGTAGCAAGTGAAGAGGCCCCCACGCAACTACTGACATAATCAGCTGTGGATGCACACCCCTCCCTGTCACGTGGCCTAAGCTTTTCTTAACAATGGTGTTTCCCATTGAGGGGTGAGGGCAAGGCCTCTAGAGGGAAAGCTGGGACACAGGGCTGTTATAAAATAACCCAGAAAAACCAAGACAGGAAAACACAGAAAACAAAGGATACAGGATCCTGGATTCTCAGCCTCCTCTTCTTGAAAATGGTCCTGCCTCCCCCCAACATACCCGCCCCTACTGTGTCCCTGCCCTTGTCTCATTTTCAGATCCTCTTCTATGAAAACAATTTTCTCCCTCTCCAGCTCTCTTCAGGGATTTAGGTATGATCTCCCCTGACCCAGGCAGTTCTTGCTCGCCCACCTCCACCTCCACATCTGTATTTTGCATAGACGAAAGGATCCAGCGCTCCAGCAGCCCCCACCTGCTCCCAAGGCCCCGGTTGTCCTGCCTCGCGGTCCCCACAGCAACCAGGCTCTGCTGCCGTCAATGGAGAAGAGGGGGCGGGAGACAGCGGTGACGTCAAAGCGGAGGAAGGGGGCGGGGCGAAGCAGCTGGGGAATGTGGGGCAGGGAGGCTGGAAAGGCAGCGGTTTGGGAGGCGGCCAGCCCAAGAGGGCGGCGGCTAGCGCACTTGGGAACATCGTGTTCTCTTGGCTGTTGGCCCAGGACATACACTCAGCCTGGACGCCTCCCCCAACCCAACGACAGCGGTCCTGTCCCAAAGCCAGGGATTCCTGGAGAGAGCTTTAGGAGGAGGGGGTCCCCCTTCCCCGCCCCCACGCCTGGCTCTCCTTTTGGAACTCGCATCTGCTGGCCCCTCAGCTCGCTCCTAACAGCTCCTGGCACTGGCTTTCCCCCTCTCCCAAACTACACGCTGCTGCTGGCCCAGTACCAAAGAGCCAGGGCGGAGAAGTGGAGGCCCAAGTTCTGCGAGAGAAGACGCACCTTTGCTCCCTCCCAGAGGTCCCCTTCGGAGCCCGAATCTCTTGTTACTATGGCAGCAGGGTAGGGGGCGGGGAGAAGGAGAGGGAGGAGGGGCAAGGAGGTGAATGGGTCTAGGATGAGGAAATCAAACTGGGACAGAGCAAGTAGCCCAGTCTGGGGCCTGGATCTTGGAAGAAGGACAGGGAGGAATGAAGAAATTTGGGCTGGTGCCTGAAGACCAGAAGAACCAGGAAGAAGGGAAATGGGGAGTCATCAAAACTTGCAGAAAAACATGAGAATAATTCCCAGTCACAACATTCACATAAATCTCACCCTGTCACAGTTGTTTTGTCACCCTACAGCCATTTTTTAAGCTATATTAAAAAAAAAAAATGACCCAGGCCTTGTACTGAGCACTATACATGCATTAATCTCATTTAATCCCCCCAAAAAAAACCCTGTGAAATAGGTATTATTATGCATTATATAAAATGCTTGGTTATATATTTTTGTTGAGTTTTTTTATTAAAGTCTTGTAAAAAAAAATAGGCATTATTACCTCCATTTTTATGGGGGGACCACTAAGAATTTATTAAACTTGTCTAATTTTCTGCCTTATAACATGGTCTCAGCCTCTTTTTTTTTTTTTTTTAAAGAAAGAGTGAGAGAGAATTTTTTTTAATATTTATTTTTAGTTCTCAGAGGACACAACATCTTTGTTGGTATGTGGTGCTGAGGATCGAACCCGGGCCATACGCATGTTAGGTGAGCGCGCTACCGCTTGAGCCACATTCCCAGCCCGGTCTCAGCTCAGGGTTCAAGTCTGAGCTCTAAATGATGGCTGGTCTTTCTGACGTCTTACCCTCTGAACCTGTGAGGTGTTATTCAACCTCTAAGCTGCATTCCAGCAAAAAATGACAAACCTGGGCCTCTCAAATATCCAGCTAAGTTTGGTGCCTGGAACACAGATTCCATCTAACCCCTTCTTCCCCTTAGGTTCAATCGCCAAACATTGTTTACACTCCCCACACACTTTTTGTATCCCATTTTCCCATGCTGAGATCAAGCCAGTAGTCTCCCCTCAAAGGTTTCCTAGGAACCTCACTTCCTCATTTTTCCACCTTACTCCAGGCCACATTACCATAGGCCTTGTTATTTGTACAGACACTAACTAGAGCAAGCTCTTGGTGCCTCCCCACTTCAGGCGGCTCAGGAGGATCTGTGCACGTACAGCCAATCTGCACAAACCCCTAATTTGTCCTCCTCTCATAACCCAACAATTGCTGCCCCACCTCTGTTCCCAGGGATGGCTCCTACACCCAAATTCTCCCCTCGACACATGAGAAAGACAACCACTGTATGATGAGACTGGCTCTAGGTCACACTAATCAGCACAGCACCCTTTCTCAAATCCCAGGCCAGCCCTTGGGTACCCTCCCATCCGCCCTATCAGGACCTCCCTCCAGCCTCAAAACCTCTTCTCTGCCTCTTTCAAGTGCTGAAGGCACCTATCCAAACCGCAGTCATGCACTGGAACATTCCCCATCAATTCTCAGGGGTACCATCCCCATACCTCCCCCGGAAAAGGGGCTTCCTTTCCATCGAGTCGCTGAGAGCTTCTGGGCACCCTTCCCTGACAGTCGAGTCTAGGTACCCTAGGGTGGTGGAGGGAACTGATGTTAGTAACTCCCACCCATGTCCTAAGCCGAGTTCGCGGTCTCTATTGTCCACAACCATAAGACCTCCCAGAGCGACAGTCATGCATTTGCAAGATCCCTCCACTCCACTATACCCCTTCTGACCGAACACACCATTCCAGAAAAACACATATAGTCTGTTCCTCATTTCTCTCCACCCCCGGGGTACTCACCGCTCGAAGCGCACGCAGAATCCAAATTTCTTCACCAGTGGGACGTGAGGTAGCGATTACACTGGCTTCACCAGGCCCTCCCACCGCCAGGGATGCCACGCCCTCCCCATCTTATTGGCTCAGAGACACCGACCCATGCCCCGCGCCGCGTGCAGCCGCCCCGCCCTCGCAAAGCCTCCATTGGAATTTTCAGCCGCCGTCGTCTTCCCATTGGTCAGCGTGACAACCGGTAGTGATAGATCCACGTGCGGGAGGGACAGCCTCTGTGCGTTGATTGGGAGACTGACCGGAAGCCACACCTCCATCCGTTTCCGGAATTTCTATTGGCTGTAACAACAACCCGCGACCTACCCATATCGGTTGACGCAAACGCCAGTCCGGCCCTCCAAACTTTCTCATAGGCTGAGGTCGTGGAGATGTAGGTGACACGTGCTGGAGATCTCACGCGGCAACTTGTTTACCCAGAAACTGGGGATTTTCCTTGACGACATTTACCCAAGACTGTGTGCGCAGGCGCATCGAGCGTGACCTGCACGCAGGCGCAGATGTAAGCGGTGATGGCGTAGGTGGGACAGTTTGTACAGAGGCCCTGGCGTGACTGGGGCTTAGCTGCGGCTCTATGTCCCTGGTACTACCCAAAATTGGAAGACGCGAGCCCTAGGATGAAGCAGTCTTTAGATCTCACCGCTGCATCATGGTGATAACGAATAACATTACAGATGCCTCGATTATTTTCTGTGAGCCAGGCCAAGCGCTTCTCAAAAACACCAAGGAGGCCAATACACTTGCTACCCACTTCCTCACAAATAAGACTGATTCAGAGATTACATAATCTGTACGAAGTAATAGGATAGCCAACAGTGGAGCTAAAATTTGAAGTCAGGCCCCTGAAATCACAAAGAAAGAATATTCTAGGGCCCAGGGAAACAAATCTACAAGGGATTCAGGAGGACTTTTGTTGTTCTTTATATATATGACAGTAGAGTGTTTTGACATACATACGTGGAGTATAACTTATTGTAATTAGAATCCCATTCTTGTAATTGCACATTATATGAAGTCTCACTGGTTGTGTAGTCATATATGAACCTAAGAAAGCTATGTCTGATTACTTCTATTTTTTTTCCTATTCCCATTTTCCCTCTCTTCCCTTCATTCTCTTTTGTCTAATCCAATGAACTTCTATTCTCCACCTTATCGCACCATTGTTATGTTAGAAACCACATATCAAGAGAGAACATTCAGCTTTTTGGGGGGAGGGATTGGCTTATTTCACTTAACATGATAGTCTCTGGTTCCAACCATTTATTGGCAAATACATAATTTCATTCTTCTTTACGGCTGAGTAATATTCTATTGTGTATATATACATTTTCTTATCCGTTCATCTTTTGAAGGGCACCTAGGTTGGTTCCAAAGCATAGCTATTGTGTGTTGAGCTGCTATAAACATGGATGTGGCTGCTTCACTGTAGTATGCCGATTTAAACTTCTTTGGGCATATACCAAAGAATGGGATGACTGGGTCAAAGGAGATGCTTTTAACATACACAAAATCTTAGCATATTGTAAGGTGGAAGTTTAGGTAGACTGTATACCTAGTTACAAGAATTACCTGAGCCTCTTAGAACCACCTTATCAAACAAGCACAGTGGTATACACTTGTAACCCCAACAATTTGGGAGGTTGAAGCAGGAGGATCACCAGTTCAAAGCCAACCTCAGCAGATTAGCGAGGCACTTAGCAACTCAGTGAGACTCTTATCTCTAAATTAAAAAATATAATAGGGCTGGGGACATGGCTCACTGGGTAAGCATCCCTGGGTTCATTCCCCAGTACAGGAAAAAATAAATATATACATATTTTTTTAAAAACTACCTAGGGGCTGGGGTTGTGGCTCAGCGGTAGCGCAGTTGCCTAGCATGCCTGAGGCACTGGGTTCAATTCTCAGCACCGCATACAAATAAACAAAAGTAAAGGTCCATCAACAAATAAGAAATTAAAAAACAAATTATTAAAAGAAAACACATAATGAAAATCTCTAGAGAAAGGGCCTAAAAATCTATTTTTATTGGTTTTTTAAAATAAATGACAGAATGCATTACAATTCTTATTACACATATACAGCACAATTTTTCATATATCTGGTCGTATATAAAGTATATTCACACCAATTTGTGTCTTCTAAAAATCTGTTTTTGAAAGCAGCTCTAAAGATGGCCAGCTAGCTCAGCCAGTAGATCATGAGGCTTTAAAAGCATCCATGAGCCAGATATGGTGGCCCATGCCTATAATCCCAGCAGTTAAGGAGGTAGGAGAATCATTTAAAGCCAGCCTCAGAAATTTATCGACAACAGGGGCTGGAGTGTGGCTCAGTGGCAGAGTGCTTGACCCTCACATGTGAGGTACTGGGTTTGAGCCTCAACACCACATAAAAATAAATAAACAAAATAAAGATATTGTGTCCATGTATAACTAAAAAATATATATTAAAAAAAAGAAATTTATCAACAACATATCTCAAAATAAAAAAGAGCTGGGAATATTGCTCAAGAGCTATACATCATCTATTGTATGTAGTATGTCAATACTATGTATATGTACTGTGTCAATACTACAGTTTGCTGTGTGTCATAAATCTGGGTCTTCCTGAGCTGATTCAACAAGTATTTAGCATTAGGAGGCTCAGGCAGTAGATCCAAAGTTCAAGACTAGCCTCACCAATTTAGTGAGGTCCTAAGCAATTTAGACCCTGTTTCAAAAAACTAAAGCAGGGAGTACTGGCATGTCTGTAATCCCAGCAACTCAGGTTAAAGCAGGAGGACTGAAAGTTCAAGGCCAGCCTTGCAATTTAGGCCCTAAGCAATTTAGCAAGAACCTGTGTCAAAATAAGATAAAGGGCTGGAGTTACTCAGTGGTTAAGTACCCCTGGGTTTAATCCCTTGTCCCTGCAAAATATAAAAAAGGCTGAAATGCAGCTCTGTGGTAAAGCACCCCTGGGTTCAATATCTAGTACCAGACAAAATCAAGTATTTATTAATCCCTTTGACACTGGTATACTGCTGAGCACAAAGGGGAAAGAGATGATTCACGACATGACCATCTACTCCAGACCTAGGAATGAATAACCACTGAGAGCAACTACAGAGTACATCTAGGAGAGGGCAAAGGAGTCCAACATCAAAAGCACGCCCCAGGCAAGGGAAGGGGTAAGCTGGGAACCCCAGAACTTAAAAGTTCAGCAGCCATTACCAATTCCTGATGCCCCTCTGTTGGCCACCTTAGGAATCACAATTTGCATTGCTAAAGATCAGGGCCTCCTGCAAAGCCCAGCTGCTTCCAGTTACACCTGTAGATCCAACATCCTTCTCACTTGTTAACAAAGGATTAATCCCAGTAACTCCGGAGTCTGTGGGAATCTGCGGAATCTGCAACAGGGGACCTTGAGTTCAAAGCCAGCCTGGGTGATTTACCCAGACTGTCTGGAAATAAAATAAAAAGGGCTGGAGATGCAGCTCAGTACTGGAGCACTTGCCTAGCATGTGCTAGGCCCTAGGTTCAATCCTTAGCAGAGAGAGAGAAAAAAAAAAAAAAACAACAACACACACACACACACACACAAAAATACAGACACTACCTGGTTACTCATTACACATTTATTGTACATTTTCACAATCTGGATGCGCCACAGAATTGGGGGCACGGGATGGGGGAAGAGGGAAGGCAGGGGACACTGGGATAATATGGGGGGTCTAGAACACAGCACCCCCACCCCCAGCATCTCTCCTACCCTTTCACACCACAATTTAGATCTCCCTGCTCCCCCTCCACACAGAAAACCTGGAGTGGTGGTGGGGGCATGGGGAGTTTGGGGGCCCCCTCCAGTGGCAGGCTAAGGGACTGCACCCTCAGACCCCTAAAATTGTGCCATTTAAAAAGACATTAGACCCATCCTCTATCACTTCACCCAATGAGGGGATAGCTCTCTCTGGGGCTCAACAGCACCAGAAAAGGGCAAGGATTCCCCATCATCCAGCAAGTCCCATACATACATTGGCAGTGACTAATACCCCCACCCTGAATACAGGGGGGCAGTCAGAGGAGCTGGGCAGTGATGGGGGCAACACCCCCCAAACAGGGGAGGAAGGTTTCAGTCCAACCTCCAGCAGGGATGAGGCCAGAGATTTCAGGCAGGATTTGGGGGGATTCTCTGCCCTGTCCCACTCCTCCCCAAGGCAGTGATGACCCCCCCACACACACTGGTAGCCACTCCTCCCAAAAGAGATCAGATTGTTGCCAACCCCCAACTCTCCTGGTGGGAGGAGGAGGCAGATCAGGCAGATGGGAAGGAGGGAGACCCCTGGGAATGTCAGTTGCGTGCCCCACGTGAAAATTGGGGAGCAGGAATGTAGGGAGAGACCCCAAGTGGCAGAGTTATTGGTCCATCATAACACACTGAACTCCAAGACACTTACACACCAGCTGGGGGGAGGGAGAGGAGGGTACAAGAGGATTGGAAAATTAGGATAGGGAAGGCAAACTGGACTAGAGGGGGCTAGGAGGGGGCAATACTGGGGACCAGGGCCGCCTGGTTCCCCAAAAGCCCAGACTCCCCACCACCTGCATGTAATGTCGTGCAAATGAAAGTGTGATACAAGGACCAATGGGGACTAACTCCTCAGTAAAAAAGAAACACAGGTTGAGAGAAGAAAAATGGAAGGAAACCTAAAGAGATGTCAGTATGCAAATGATATGCTAAGTAACATGCTGGAAGCTCCCAGAAGACCTTGGGATTCTTAGGACCAAGTAGGGCCAGTCTCAGAACCTCCCAAAGGGTGCAAAGATGCACCTAGGGAGGATTGGACAGGTACTTTTTTATCTTTTGGGGTGTTGCATGGGGGACTGGTGAGGGGAGAGGGTCAGTTAAATCCAAGGGAAGGAGAAGGAGAGAGGGACTATTGCATAGCAGATGCAAATGTAGGGACTTGGGACTGTTCAGGAAGAAAGGGAAGAGGAAGAGAGCGGAGATGGGAACCTCAGGAAGGGGTATTAAGGACAACCGGAAAAATCTTCTAGTAATAAAACTACAAACAGACCAAATATATATAATATTATATATGTATAAATAACAGCTGGCTATTTACAAGGGGGCACACACACGGACACACACACACGGATCCAGGGGAAGGGTGCTGAAAGATATGGCTGAGAGGTGAAGGAACGGCTGGGGGTGGGGGAGAGGCCCTTCTCTAGGCAGGGCAGACTCCTCAGGGATTTAAGTGCTGAAGTAAACTGTGGAGAGAGGGTAAGAGAAGGAGGAAGAGGGAGAGGGGAGAAAGAGAAAGAAAGCAGTGTGTCAGGCCTGGCCCTGTTCCAATCCTCCCCACTCCACTCCCCAGCTGCTTGGTGTCCCTTCCCCTCTCTTGGCCTCAGTATCTCCATCTATAAAGCAAAAGCTCTGGATGGTGGGTTCCAAAGTCCCTTTAACTCTATAGCATGGTCTTAGAATCAAAGACCCCTAATTCTGTGGGCCTCTGAAATTACAAGCTCTCAAACAGTGGGGTAGCTGGCTTCCTGGTCATATCTTAAGTCTCTGGGCCTTTCCCATCTCCTTCTCCCCAGTTCTAGAGTTCCCAGACTGGGCTCTTAGGCCCAAAGGGTCCTCAATAGAATACTGGGGACCCACCGGATTTCCTATTTTCAAAATCATACTAGAAATTGCCCGTATCCAGGCAAAGTGAAGGCTAAACAACACAAAGGTTTTCAGCTCTAGATGAACCAGAACTGCAATTAGCAGCTACATATGTCTTTTGTTGAAAAGTCAAAACTAGGTTAATGACCTTCAAAACCCAGAATCCACAGGGGAAATCTCTCCAGAGAAAGGGCCCTGGCCACTCCTGCCCCACTCACCGATGATGATGATGAGGATGATGGCGCAAATCACTCCCAAGATTATCATCATCTGGGGGTAAGAAGGGATGTCAGTAAGATAAACCATGATACCCCCATATACCCAGTCCTCCTACCTGCCCCTCGTTTACCTTGAGGTTTTTCCACCAGTATTTGCGCTTGAGCTTGGCTGCACTTGTTTCAAACTGGGAGGCCCCTGCCTGGAGTGCATCTGCACGGTCATCCAGTTCCGATAGCTTCTGGTCCCGCTCCAGGACCTTGTCCACATTCACCCTCATAATGTCCACCACCTGGGGGAGGGGTCCACGAGGCAAGGAGTGTGCCAAGTCCCCCCTGAACGAGGGCATTCCTCGAACATATGCCCACTGTGCCACACATGGTACATGCACCCCGATGCTGCCAGGCTAACATGCCAAGGACACACACAGAACATGCCTAGCACACCTGGGGACATGCAAGGAGCATACATCAGGGGTGTGCTGGTAGCCAGAGACATCTCAGCTGTCAAAGCAACACCCTATATCTATGGAGCCTCAAGCAGGCTATCCATCATCAGAGCACACCTGCCCAGGCAGGCACACCCCAGGCTAGCACCCTTCCAAGTGTGTGCTGACAGGGAGATAGGGATGGGGCATGGTATGTCTTTGACTCAAAAACCACAGGCCATAGACTGTCATCGCTTTCAAACCAAGATTGGCCCTCCACAACTGTTTGCCAATCCCAGTCTCACCCACTGTCTTTGACACCCGTCCCCCACACTCACCTCATCCACCTGGGCCTGGGTCTGCTGCAGTCTCCTGTTACTGGTGAGGTTTGGAGGGGGCGCAGGGGGTCCACCCTCCCCAGCTGGAGCCGCAGGGGGGGCGGTGGCAGCAGTAGCCGACCTGAGGAGCAGGAACGGATTAAGACCCAGGGCCTGAGGCCGCTAGCACGACGGTCAGGGCTCCGCCCATCCACCTGTCCACGGATCGTCCCTCCAGTCCTCCTTTTCGGAAGGAAGGCCACCCGATGGGATCACCGGTCTCTATCCCGCCCTGCCGCGGAAGAGCTGCGTGACCTTGAACGAGCCCCCCCTCCCCCTTCCGGGCCTCAGTTTCCCCGCCCGTCACATGAGGGCGACCTCACGGTCACAGTCCGGGGTCCACCAGAAATGACTGAAGGCCGTGGTGACAGGGGTGGGGCAAGGCGGGAGGACGCGGGATCCGCTGCCTCCCGCGGCCATCGCCCGCGCGGGCCTGCCGGGGACGCTTGTCTCCCCGGCCGCCCGCGCGCAGTCATGGAGCCAGCCGGGCCCCCGGGCGCGGAGGGTGCGGGTGGGACCCCGGCACTCCCCGCGGCCGGTTTCCAAAGGCAGCGGCCGGCACGGGCAGCGCGGTGCGGGCGGCGGGCGGCCGACTCACATGGCGGGGGCAGCGGGCGGAGGACTTGGCAGCGGCAGTGATGGCAGCAGCAGCAGCAGCAGCAGCAGCGGCAGCGGCTCGCGCTGGCTCGGACTGGCGCTGGCTGCCCGGGACGGGAAGATGGCGGCCGCGCGTCACCCGCATCCGGGCACTGCGGGAGGGGGCGGGGCTAGGCTGGAGACACATCGGGAGCGGGGGCGGGGCGGAGCAGGGCGCGGCGGGCGGGGGTCTTGTGTTGCTGGGGCTCCCGCACCTGCCTCAGCACCCTCGAGAGCCCCCAGGTGACTGTTGCGGCTCCCCTAAACCCACCGCCACACCTTGTCTAACCACTAGTTCAACCGCTCCCAAGCCCTCTGCCACCTGTGTCTTATGTATGGCATACCACACTCCTCACATACTATAGGTCCCACTCCTCCACCTAAACTACTTCGTCCCTCATCTGCGAATCCAGTAAACCAGTCTGCATGCACCCTTCACAGCACAAAGTCTCCCAACACCTGGTAACCAACTTCAAGCACCTGGAATAGGCTGAGGATGGGAAATAAGAAAGGGCCAGTGCAGGTGGCCCGGAAATGTGTGTAGCTGAGACCCTGTTGCTGGGGTAGAGTGGAGTGGTGGGAGTTGATCCTACCCCATCATAGGACAAGTAGATGTCTCAAGGGAGATATGGGATACTCGGCCACTAAGGGGTATGAACTAAAACCCTATCCCCAACCAATTCCTAGGAGAGCCTGCAGGCCCGTGAAAGCTGCGGATCCTCAAAGTTAAAGTTCAGACCCAGGGTATTCTGTAAGCAAAGCTGGAGCAAACGTAACTGAGGTACAGCAAGCTAAAGAATCCAGAGAGGAGGGCAGAGACTGCCCCGTAGGGCTGCTTCACATAGTGGTTGCAGGCTAGCCAACACATAGTTCTTTCCCAGACTGTCCAGGCAGGAGAGGGCAAGGGCAACACCTGCAATACTCTGATTATACATCCTACTTTACATGGGGATTCCAATCACAGATGTGACCTTGGACATCCTCTCTCTGGAGCAACTATGTGTGTAGACATCAACTTTGTTCAATGATTTGACCTGGGTAATGGGAAGAGATTATTTCAGGCCTAGTCCATCCCTGACATCCATCTGGGTCCTCTAAACTGACCCAGCAGCTGTAATACTCCCATCCAGCTTCTCAAAGAAGATTTAACCAGTGAGTTACTGGTGGGTCAAAGCCAGGGTGAAGGAGGCATTTTGGAGGAGGCCTAGTGTCCCTGCGTTGGGGGGTACTCACTACATCCCTGGAGTCTTGGGGAGGAAGATTGGTGGCCTTGATCTCTGAGCCAAACAGGAGCTGGCTTCTTCCCTCCCCCACCCAGGCTTTCCAGGGCTTCAGAATCTGTGCTCTTCTTCCACTGCAGTGCCCCACCCCCTCCCAGCAGAAGCCCAGGGACTGGCTCTGTCACCAGAGGTGTCATTTCCCAGCTGTCTGGGGGAGGTGAGTGAGCAGCTAGTGTATGTGCTGGGTGCCGGGGCTCAGCCAAATCTAAAATGCGGTCTGCTCCTTCTGCCTCCCAGGAGCAGCCATGTCCGTGGTCCTTTTGCACTGACATAATTTTGGGCTGTCTCAGCTTATGTGAAAGAAAGAAAGGAGCATCTTCCATGGGGTCTCAGATCTTGCTGTAAAAAAATAGCTTTTTTTTCTTGTCCCTGAGACCACTTTCCTTTCTAGTCAGAGAATAAAGATGCCAAATTCTAGACTTTCAAGTTCAAAAGCTTCAAAGTGTGGGTATAAGACAGAGAGAGTTAGGAGGAGGTAGGTACAAACAGGCAGAGCCCTCTACCTTCCCCAACACCCTGCACTAGCTGGGGACAGCCTAGTGCAGGACCTGGCATAATGTTGAATACTAGTTCAAGGAAATGGGGTGATCCCCATTTTCCCTGGCCAAGTACAGGGGATGTGGAAGACAGAAGCCCACATAAATTTGGGGAGAGCCCATTGTTTGTGGCTTAGAAAGCTAATACATTGCTTTTGCAATGTGGATGGGGGTGGGGGGAAGCAGCAGCAGCAGAGTAGAAATGAGAGCACATATGAGCCATGGAGATGGGGAACCCAGGAGGACTGACCTCAGAGTGAGGACTCACTGCACAACCCCTCCCCAACACACCCGACCTAGGCTGTGATGCCAAGAAACTCCAAAATTAGATCGGTGGTGGGCGGCGGGAGGAATGAGGTAGGATGACCGAATTCACCTGGAAATGAATAAGAGAATGTTTTCTGCAAGCAGTTAGAATGGAGACCCACGAAAGAGGGAGTCGATTATAAAAATAAATAAATAAAGTATTTGCAAAACTGAGATGGTGGTTTCCACATTTCCCTACTGGGGGATTGAAGGCTGGATTTCTAGGCCCCGCCCCTAAGGATCCTTCTAAGGATGTGGGCTGGGGGCCTGACGTTCTTGTTCATTTCTTTTTTCTTTTTTCTTTTTTATTTTTATTGGTTGTTCACAACATTACAAAGCTCTTGACATATCATATTTCATACATTAGATTGAAGTGGGTTATGAACTCCCAATTTTACCCCTAATGCAGATTGCAGAATCATTTCTAAGGAGAACTTTCCTGGGATTCCGACGTGGGCGACATAGAGATCGCACCGTTTTTCCCTCTTGAAATAACTGCTGGTTTCGAAGTTGAGGTGGAAGGGGGCTGTGCCATTGCTACACTTACTCATAAACTTCTCTATCCTCATGAGTCAAACCTGACCAAACTAGTAATTAATTTCAGGGACCTCTTGTGTCCCTCCACGCAGCTTGTACAGCAAAGGTCTTTTAATTAAGAACAGAAGAATTGTGGTTGGGACCCAGGCTGGGAGGCGAGCCGTCTGAGATCAGCAGAAATCCTGTAACCTCTAGGGTGCCCTCTGGCCCTGATGTTTCCAGGGGACACCCTGTCAAGCTCCCAGCTCCAGGAGGGGAGGGAAGCTCCAAAGGCTCCTGGGTCAGATGCTTTAGGTGAATTGCCAGGAGCGCTCAATTCTACCGAGTACCTTAAGCCCTGGGTACTAGGGATGGAACCCAGAGTGGATTCGTTTTTCATCACACAGATAATGTGACATTAAGCATAACAGTGAAGTTCCCTTGGCCACCACATCCTTTTGTTTTACTTTCTAGAAGATTTTGGATGTCCTTGTTTTTGAAAAACTAAATAAAAGCTTTTTGTTCATTTATCTATTTTGCTCAATCCAGATTGCAATATCTTCTCTCTGATAATTATATTTAAAAATTTCAATATCAGTTTTTTAAAATAGGTAACTCAACCATATTGAAAAATCCAAAATATACAAAGAAGGTAGTGAACCATCAGAAGATCTGAGCCATCCCAGGCCCACCCTAAACAGCTGCTGTCTAAAGGTGTGTAAATCCTCAGGGGATAGTTGTTGCAGACACAGTATATACCTAGATATTTCTTTCCCTCCTCTTTATTTGTTCTATTAATCTTCATTTATTTATTTATTTTGGACTGAGGATTAAACACAGGGACCTTTTACCACCAAGCTACATCCCCAGGCTTTCTATTTGATATTTTAAGGGCCTCTCTAAATTGCTGAGGCTGGAGGCTAACTTTGAACTTTCCATCTTCCTGTCTCAACCTCCTGAGTTGCTGGGATTACAGGCAGGGGTTCCTCTTTTTATAAATACAAATGGTAAACTGGGCACAGTGGTGCCTGTAAATTCCAGCAGTTTGAGAGGCTGAGGTAGGAGGATCATGAGTTCAAAGCCAGCCTCAGCAACTTATCGAGGTGCTAAGCAACTCAGTGAGACCCTGCCTCTGGAACTGGATGTGATCCAGTGGTTGAATGCCCCTGAATTTAATCCCCAATACCAAAATAATAACAATAATAAATAAAAATGCTAACAGACTATGCATATTGATTTGTACCTTAGGGTTCTGGTTTGTTTGTTTTGTTTTGTTTAATTTTCCAATTATAGGTTTAATCTTTGTATTAAACCATAACATACACACATAAAATGGAATTATATTAATCTGTGTGGTTCCCCCTGCACAAGTATCAGATAAGTGCCAGTAACAACTGTGTGGCCCTTGTTGTGATGGACTTAATGATCATGACTCAAACATTGTTAAAACTAAAAGTAGAATCTGAGCTGGGCATGGTGGTGCACACCTATAATCCCAGCAGCTTGGGAGGCTAAGGCAGGAGGATCCTGAGTTCAAAGCTAGCCTCAGTAAAATACAAAAAAGGGCTGGGAATGTGGCTCAGTGGTTAAGCGCCCCTAGGTTCAATCCCTAGTACAAAAAAAAAAAAAAAAAAAAAGTAGGGCTGGGGATGTGGCTCTGTGGTTGAGTGCCCCTGAGTTCAATCCCCAGTACCCGCTAAAAAAAATAAAAAGGACTGGGGATGTGGCTCAGTGATTAAGCACCCCTGCGTTCAATCTCTGGTAGCAATTTTTTTTTCTTTTTGCACTTAAAAATAATAAAAAGTGGAATCTGGGGCTAGGAGTGTAGTTCAATAGTAGACTGCTTGCCTAGCATGCACAAGACCCTGAGTTCCATCCTCAGCCCCAAAATGGGAAAAGAAAAAGGAAGGAAGGAAGAGAGGGTGGATGGGTGGGTGGGATGGAGGGAGGAAGGAAGGAAGGAAGGAAAGAGTAGAATCTGGTGGTGGCTGCTCTCATAACTAGAAACAGTAGGATCTGGGTACTGGAATGATGTCATCAAAGATGTTTCTCTGTTCCTGAGCTCTGCTTTCCTGTGACTTAGCTTCATTTCTAGATAGGCAACATAAGCAGCTGCAGTCTCACATTTGATAAAAATGTTGCAGCTTGTTTGTATATTTTTTTAAAAATAAAAACAAGTTATGTTCAAAAGTTCAAAAGAGCATATAGGGGGTTGGGGGATGCAGCTCACTGGTAGAGCACTTGCCTAACATGCTGGACGCCCTGGGTTCCAATCCACCACCACCAAAAAAAAAAGGCATATAGTTCAAAACAGAAGAAGTCTTCTCCTGTATCCCAGCAATATCTTTTTCCTCACAACAACCAGTTCTCTCATCGCTTGTGCCTCCTTCCAGGAATTTCACTGTTGTTTTGTGGGGTTTTTTTGGTGCTAGGGATTGAACCCAGAGTCTTATATAAGTTTCTAAGACAAGCACT